ACCAAGATTGCTTCTCGGGGAGATGGCATCTGGGCTCACTGCGACGACAGGTGTAAACTTAGGGAAGGTACAAGACTTCCTTATGTGTGTCTCCGAGTTCCTGGCGTGTTGCATGAGGTCTTTGGAGCCAAAGGCAGGAGGAAAGCTGTGCGGGTCGAGCCGGGAGTGCAGTGTGAAGAGCACTCAAGGCCCGGCCCTTCCATCCAGCCCCGGAAGGGGGGTGAGCCTGTGCGAGTCAGCTCCGTTCCTGCGCACCTTGTCCATCCAGCACACCCTGTCTGCACTCTCCGCTCCTTCCCACTCACATCTTCTCTGCAGGAGGCCGTGGCCACGCTTCCAGAATCACCTCTTGACCTTGCCCTCTCTCATCCAAAGCCCTTTCACATGGGAGATTACGGAGCTTTAACCCACAGCCCGGATCCATCCTGCATCTCAGACCGTCAGGGCTGGTGCATCAGAAAAGCTCTCATAACCAAGAGAAGAAGTCACTGTCCGGGGTCAGCCACCAGGGTGAGGAGCGTGCTGTGGTTGGCAGCTGAACCGAACTAAAGTGTGCAAATGAGCCCAGGGGCGTGGCTCAGTGGTTGAGTGTGGACCTATGAGCCAGCAGGTCATGGTTCGATTGCTGGTCAGGGCACATGCCTGGGCTGTAGGCTCCATCCCCAGTAGGGGGCGTACAGGAGGCAACCGATCAATGATTCTCTCATCATTGGTGTTTCTATCCCTCGCTCCGTCTCCCTTCCTCTCTGACATCAATAAAAAGATGGGTTTTTTAAGTGTAAGTGAGACCAAACCACCCAATGAGCAGAGTTCCCAGTCACTGGTGAGCTCGTTCAGGCCAAGCTACGATTGTGATGGAGACCCCCTGCCCCTTCCTGGGGATGCTGGCCACGCGGCCTGGCCTAGGCCACGCCCGCAGCGCCTGTGCCCGGAGCCAGCGCCCCTCCGAGGCCGAGGCCATGCCCGGGAGAGGTTCTCAGGAGTGAGAACCAAATAAGGCGCAGTGTCTGTGAAAGGGACCACACACATTCAAAATGACAAATACTTTTCTCTTCTAAAATTTAAACCGGGAGGTAAAAGCCTACATAATTTTTTTCATATGACAAAAGAGAAAAGCACTAAGTAAAATAAAATTTTAAAAAATCAAAGTAAACTGGAGAAAATACCTCTTTAAAGGGCATTTAAAAAGCATGAGGCTAACAATATTTTCCCAGTTTCTACTTTTTTTGTTCAAATTTTTTATAAATGCCGCACATGAATTTCGCAGGCTGCTAACAAAAAGCCTCAGCTTTCACAATTTCCTCTTTTAAAGACTACCTGCTAGATGATGTTATAGTTAACTGATGGTTAGGGTTGCATCTTGACATTACTGTGTGTGTGTGTGTGTGTGTGTGTGTGGTGCAGTTTGGGGGCCACAGTGCCATTCGAAAGGAAGGGTTCTTTAGTTCTGAAGGTGATATGTGTGAGTTGGCGCATTGCCCATGACACTGGTAGTTTTATCAGTTTTCAGGTTCTAATCACCTAATCTGAGGATGTTTTATTTCTAATTATTTGTCTTGTGCTCAGTAAGTGGGGAAGGCAGTTGTAAAAGAACATTTTGTTCTAACCTTCCTAGTTTTCAAGCCAGCTTTCTGCAAACACAGAGTTCTTCACGTAGTGTTGTGTGCGGGGACAAAGATAGATTAATTACCTCTGAGAGGGGAGTTCAGTATGTGCGTCCACCGCAGAAATGCGGGCGTCTGGGTGTGCTGCGGGGATAATGGTCCCGTGAGACGCAGTGGCACTGCCGCGCTCAGGGTGCTGTGGGCCCAGCGAGCTGGGGGCAGTCAGGTAGCCTCATGCCACGGGGCTAGAATTTGGCTGGAGGACAGCTCTGCTCCTGCCAGGAGACAAGAAATGACCTGAGAGGACATGGGCTGGAGGTACTGCCAGGCCCCTACCTGCCCTCTCCTGGGAAGCAGGAATGTCTCTCCTGCCCTCCCACACACTCACAGACTTCCCTGGAAGTTCCTAAGAGCAGAGCAGGCAGGCGGGGAGCTGACTGCCAATTCCTTATAACAGCGTCACTGTGTGAAAAGGGCGCGGCAGGTTAATGAATTCCTGCCCTCCTTTAAAGAGAGAAGTAGGCCCATCTCCTGGAAGACGGGGCCGGACAGCAGCGAGCTCCTGGCAGAGGGAGGCCTGGCCATGGGCCTCCGTTGACTCCCCTGCCCGGTTTGCAGGCCTCAGCCTGGGCACAGCACGGACATGGCACGGTCTGACGTCCCCACCCCCAGGGGCGGATGGAGCTAGAGGATCCTGGATGGGACCAGCAGGGATTGCCCCTCTGTAGGGAAGGTGAGGCCTCGGGCCCTGGAAGGGGAGCGGGGAGGCAGTCGTGGCTGCGGCCCCAGGTCACTGACAGCCGTGGAGTTTCCAGAACCACCGCTGGGGAATGTTTGGAAGCGCTGGGCATGCAGGCTTGTGCATTCTTTTGCGTAAAAATGTTCTCACTTCTAATTTCTCTAAGGTACACATTGATAGCTATAACTTACATAAATTAAAGCTCGAAAGAGTTGCCCATAATTTTGTGGAAAGTGTTCTTAAAACGTTGGAGAACTCCTGATCAACACCACACCTTTGCCTGTGCGGAAATTCTACCCACGTGGCATGCACCTTTGACCTCTTATTTTCGCCCTATCTGGCCAGAGCCATTTTTAATGCACATTTTTTCACGGTGTTTGGCCCTGCAATCCATCCTTCACGCTGCTTGCTGTTTGTGAACAGCTTGATGAGCCTGGGAGTGCAGGAAGGAAAGTCTTTCCCGCTCACTCAAGATCCTGCCCTGGGATTTGCCCCTTTCCTGGGAGAGCTGTGCCTGCAGCTGGGCCCACGGGTCCTCAGCCCTCTGATCACTCCTGAGTCTCATTTCTTCATGATGGTCCTCCACTTCTCAGTTCCTATAAGGAGCACGTCCCTTACTATAAACTCAGCCAGCAACGTGCAACAACAGGGAGAATGAGGAAGTCAGTCAGCTACAAGAAGAGGACCATTTCTCTCTGGATATGTAATTCTAAACTTTTTGAGCCTTTAAATGAGATTCGGTCACTGTTAGGGGTGCTATTTTTCTCCTATGGAGGATCATGTCTCTAAGTTTATTATCAAATAGGATAAGAAATAGACATAGAAACATTCATTCCAGTAACAACTCAAAAGAAGGGTAATGGGTTATATGTTTGTTAATGATGTTGTAACTTTGGATATCTTAAAAAATAATTAAAATGCAAATCCTGTGAGCTACATTGAATTAAGAATTCTATCTGAACTAGTCCGCCCCCCTTCTTTTTTGACACTAAGAGTCAGATTTAGGGCATAGTCTTGAAACTTCAAAATCTCCTGTCAGTTTCATTAATAACATAGAATACAACTTACGTCACTTTAAACAAATACAGAGCTCGTGACCTGCATGAATGACTGCGTTGCATTTCCTCCATCGGCCCACCATGCCCCCTGCCGCGAGGACGGGCGTGCTGAGCTGGCGGGATTGGAGGTTATTGTAAACTCGGTGTTTGGGAGGTTGGGACAGTCATCAGATAATTAACAAGTAAGTTTAGTAACTGACAGAAAGCCACTGCCGGCAGAAGCACGTTCATGCTTTAGAATTAGCCCTTGGCCTCTCATTTTGCCAAAGGAAGGAAGCCTCACCTGAGACAGACGTGAGACCATGAATCCTGGACAGCGACTGCTGTCAGTGACCTGGGGCCGCAGCCCAACTGCCTCCCCACTCCCCTTCCCGGGCTCTCATCGTTGATGTTTCTATCTCTCCCTCTCCCTTCCTCTCTGAAGTCAATAAATATATAGTTTTTAAAATTTTTTTATAAGTATGGTGACAGATGAAAATAGTATATGGTGGGTGGGAGAAGAGCCAGCCCTCAAACAGTATACCAAAAACAGGGTCAGGGCAGCAGAAATGACATTTTAGAAAATAAAATGATGTTTATATACAGAATAACCCATTCGCGAATCACACATCCCACCTGTGACCTTAATCAGAGCCTTCACCTATGGCCATGTGTCATCTTTTCCACCCCCGGCAGTTTGCAGATTTTCTCTTCCTCTCAAGTGGAAGGAATAAAAAGTAAAAAGACCAGAGCTGCCCTAAAAGGAATGAGGAAGCGGGTGCTCTCGGCGGCTGGCTCTGCAGGGTGACGGCCCATGATGTTCTTTCCGGTCCCAGCGAATGGTGAATTCCACCTGCCCGCCCCTCGCTTATAACGCAGAACACGTGAAGGCGGCGCAGTCTGCCTCCTGCCAGCGGATTAACGGGTGTCGCACTGCCTCTCCCGGTCCCCAAGGCCCCACAGCTCCCAGACGGACAGGGGAGCTCTGGCTGGGACTCCCCTCCACCCCCCACGGTAAGTGCCTCAGTGCTCAGGCGCCGGCGGGCAGGCTGCTAGCAGGTCGCTGGGCTGTCAGATCTGATCCTGGGACGCGGTGAGGGCGCAGCAGTGCTGCTATAGAGATTCTGAGCGCGGAGCCCTGCCTCAGGAGAAGCCTGTTCTTCGGAATTCTGTAACTGTCTCTTTGCTTTGTGTCTGAGCTTCCCTCTTTTCGGGTCAAATGAGCAAATTCATGCGAAGGTCTTACTATGAAGCTGACACAGAGTGAGCTCTCCCCCAAAAAAGTTAGTTGTTACGGGGCTTGTCATCGGAGTCTCTCTGGATGGGATTGTAATAAATGCTTAACAGAGTTTGGCCTGGTGATGCTGTCAGGCTCCACTCACTTAGAAATGTGTACTCAGACGCTGTCCGAACAGCCTGAGACATCTGGTAACAGATGGCTGTACTTTAAATGACAGCTTTCCTACCCAGTAGTGTCAGGCTTAGTGTCCTGGCGAAGTGGCACTGACGTTGGCCAGCTGACCCTACGTGTCCCTCCTGACCCTCTCCCATCTGATTTCTCTGTAGGCAGAGCGAGGCCACACGGGGGGCGACACCATCAGGACAGCAGCCGACCTTCTGATGAAGCTGACCAGCAGCTGCAATGCTGTATGTGCCTCCTGGTCTTTGCTCCTTCGTAATTCCCAAAGGCTGGAGCCAAATGTGTACCTAACCTAATTTTTTTTTTCTCTTTTAGCCAAAAACGCTAAATGTCAATAACATGGAGACATTCATTGAATGTCAATCAGAGGTAAGAAAGCAATTTTTTAAAGTTTTTATCTGCACTGTGAGACGAGGGAAAACTTTCTGCTTTAATTGAATGTTTGGCTTATTTAATTATTAGAGTAGAAAATTAGTATCCTAAGTGCAGTGTGTTAAACTCTTATATGAACAATCACTGCTTTACTATTGATTCTAGAAGCTAGAAAGAAATCAGTGAACTCCGTAGCTAATTTTTAATATGAATAAAATGTCATGTGAGCATTTTGTGGGGGAAGCCTGGGTAGGATTCTTCAGACATTGTGTTTAACTGAAGTAAACATGCTTTCAGGGTGATATCAAGCAACATCCTCTGTTGGCATCATGCGAGAGTGAAGATAGCATTTGCCAGCTGATTGGTGAGTTTTGAAAACATACTGCTCTTTTATGTAAGGGCTAACAGCAAACGTTCTTGGTTTGCAAAACCACAGGATGTGTCTCTACTAGGAATTATTTGTATGGTGTGCTCTTAAAGACCGCAGAACATCCACACTCAAGTGGAGGCCCAGCCCCCAAGCATCAGACAGAAAAGGCCCCTCGGAGCCACCCTGCTCTCCGAGGGGCTCCTAGTGGGTGACAGGTCCCTGGCCCCCCTGTTGGATAATGAGAGCACACGGACACATGGAAAACACACAGTGCCCTTCCCCTTTCTTACTTCTGTGATGGACAGGGAATCTAAGAGCCCAATCTCTGCAGACATCCAATTTCAAAGAACCCACGGTTCACTATTTTTTTAAAATATATTTTTATTGATTTCAGAAAGGAAGGGAAGAGTTAGAAACATCAATGATGAGAGAGAATCACTGATTGGCTGCCTCCTGCACGTCCCCACTGGGGATCAAGCCTGCAACCCAGGCGTGTGCCCTTGACCAGAATCAACCGAGGGTCCTTCAGTTTGCAGGCCGATGCTCTATCCACTGAGCCAAACAGGCTAGAGCCCACGGTTCACTTTTCACTCTTTTCATAGTGCATGACATAGTTGTATGTGCCCCATGGTCTCAGTTCTCCTGGACCATGGGGAAAGCCACTTCTCCAGCCTCTTCCACATCCACGATAAACTATATAGAGACATACACCAGCGCATTTAGAAAATACAGCTTTTCTATTGGGGGGAGGAGGGGGGAGGGAGAAGGGAGAAAAGAAAAAGAAGGAAACTTGTGAAAGGCAGTACCCATTGCACACCCGTCTCCAGGACTTTGCAGAGATAGAATTTCTTGGTGATGTTCACTGATAATTCCCAACTGCCATGTGTAAGCCCGGCCTTTCTGCAGCCCTTTGTGCTCTCCCGCCTAAGGCGGCCGCACTGCAACCCTGGAGGGAAGGGAACTGCAGACAGGCTGAGTGATGTAGCTCCCTCTAGTGGCCGGTGGTGCGGGCATGGCTACAGCCCGCCCTCTTGAGCAAGTCAGTTCCTCTTTGTAAGTTTTATTTTCTTCAAAGGAGCAAATTAAAATAATGTATTTCACATGGAAGATGTCCACTACGTTATTAAGGTCAATAGGTTAAGATGGGGGTTTATGACCCGCACAGTTAGGTGTTGCCAGTTTTCTGCAGCCAACAGCTAGTGAAGGAGACAAACAGGAAAGGTGGAGACTCTGAAGAACCCTGGTGTTGCTGTTTAGGGGTTGGTTGCCCTGGTAACATTGTGGTGGTTTTCTCGTTTATGTTTGGAGGTTAAGATTCATGCCCTTTGCTTTCTTAGTTTTTGCAAAGGTTTTTCCTCCATGTGGCATACCGGAGATGACATTATCCCCACTGTCGGACATGGACCTCTGTGTGTTAATATTTTAATCTAAATTCTCACCTTGCCTTGTTTTCTTGGCTGTAGAAATTAAGAAGAGAAAGAAGGTGCTGTCCTGGCCCTTTCTCATGCGAAGGCTTTCTCCTCCATCGGATTTTTCTGGGGCTTCCGAGCCAGAATTGAAAGCGTCCTTGTTTGATCAGCCCTTGTCGATTATCTGTGGTGACGATGACGCCCTCCCCAGACCCATCCAGGTAGGAGTGCGTTTACTTGTCACCCTACTTCAGCTTTCTGCCAGCTGTGAGAAGTCTTTGGGCAGCGGAATGTCATCCTCATCTAACCTTGTTGAGGCCTATCTTTCTTAGAAATGGTTTCCGCCAGGAGTGCAGTCAGGCCAGTCGCTGGCTGCTTACATTCTGGAAATCAGTTGTATTTGCCAATGAGCTCAGATTGATGGTCGCTCTGTCCTTGACTTCCTAGAGTTAAGAATGTAGAAAATGTGTGGCTTCTAAAAAATCGACAGACAGAGATGTGGTGTAGCGTATCTGATCAGAAATCCAAAGTGTATGTGGAATGGATCACAGGAAGGAGACTTGAAGCAGTTTTAGTATGTGCAAGTGAGAGCTTTCACAGAAAAATGAAGGGTGGAGGAAGAGTTGATAGCATTTGGACTGAAAGCAACAACTGGCACCAGCAGTCACTTGTTAAGACTAACTTAGGGTCATGGGGAACTAACTTTAATGGAGAGGTTATTTTATGACAGATAAAGTTAGCTACTGTGCAGATGCACTATTTTAGTTCTCTTTCTCCTACCTAAAAATAGGTTTCTAGTGTATTAGCAGCAAAGTATCTCTTTAAACCAAAGGTAACCATTTCCTATTCCTCTGCCTCTTTCCTCTAGGATATTCTCACTATTCTGTGCCTGAAAGGCCCCTCCACTGAAGGAATATTTAGGAAAGCAGCCAACGAGAAAGCCCGCAAAGAACTCAAGGAGGAGCTCAACTCGGGAGTCATGGTGGATCTGAAAAGTCTCCCCGTGCACCTCCTGGCAGTGGTCTTTAAGGTGAGTTCACAGCATTGGCACCAAAGAACCTGCCAGTGGGCTCTGAAGGTGAGGCTTTGAAGTTCCCCAGCATTTTGAGGAGAAAGGCACTTGGGCTGTCCCATGGCCAAGTCCATACCCTAAATCTGTGGCCTCTTGAATGGTGTGCCCTTACTATGCCTGTTGTGGGAAGATGCTGAGAGACATCCTAAGAGAGAGATCTCCTTCAAACTAATCAAATGCAGGAAAGAGGGGGCACAGCCTGTGGCAGGATGAGCATAGGTTCCCTGAGATGGAACGAAGTTGAGACAAAGACACCAGCACGTTACACAGCATGAGCAGGCCAAATGGTACCCTTTCTTCATCTTCCAGGACTTCCTCCGGAGTATCCCCCGGAAGCTGCTCTCCTGTGACCTGTTTGAGGACTGGATGGGTGCCCTGGAGAGACAGAACGAGGAGGACAGGATCGAGGCCCTGAGACAGTAAGTCGCCGGGTCCTCCCACATGGACTCCATCTCTTCATTCAGCGCGTAGCAGAGTGCTTCGTGCACATTGTAATGATCAGGGGATCTGAGCGGAACTGCTCATCTATTCCCAGAATGAAAATCAGGAATTACCCTGGACATTTACAAACACTGTTTCGGCCAAAGGAAAGTAGATACTTTTTCAAAAAGTAGAACATGAACTTCAGTACAAATCACGAGGGGTGGGGAAGTCTAAAAAGATAAGTCATTTGAGAAGGTCTGAGGCATAATCATAGATGAAAGCTTCAAAATGGGCTAACAAGCCAGGTGTAGGAATTTGGGGTTTTCCTTACCCTACAATTGGCTGGTATCCTGCAAGACAACCATTCTCCCAGAAAGCATCCCTGAAAAGGATTATTTTGTTCATTAAATACCATCCTATATTTCATCTTCTTCTAATTAACCAACACGAGAACTATATAAAAACAAACTCCAGTGACAGCGAAAATAATCACATATGTGAGTGAAATATACCTCTTGATGACTAGAGAATCTTAAATGCCTAACTTTAAAATATCAGCACTTTTGCCAAATCCTATGAGAATATGCCTATATATTATGACTGACCACATGGCTAAATATTTTCAATGAAATATATTTATAGAATTGAAGACATTAGAGTGTTTGCCCCAAAATGAAAATTACTTTCTACTTAGAGACATAAAGCTCTTTCAGAACAATACATCTTATGAAAAATGAAACTGGTCTATATGTTAGAGTCACCATTTGATTTTTTTTTAAAAAGAGGTTTTAAAAAGCTAATTTATTATTTGTTAGTAATAATGTTACTATTGAAATGTTGCCTTTACCATGGTTAGGAAGATGCCTAATACGCTGATTTCTCCTCCGTAAAGATTTCTCAGAATGGTGCAGAAATGTCCCATCTTTGTTCCATGGACACAGGTCAGAAAAAGGCAAATGACTGTGTTAAACACACGCACACAGCACACCGTCTTGCAGTGTTAGGAACAAAAAGGCATTCTATATGGCTAACTGGTTCTTCTACAAAAATGGTTTTCAACATATTAAGCGCTGGTATTTGTTGCTGGGGTTAATGCTTCCAAACCTAGGATCTGTGTAAATAACACAGGATGTCATTGGTGTCGGTGGCTCAGGCTGTCAGGATGTGTGGTTAGCCAGTTTCATCCCGTGTCAGTTGCCCTTGGAGGAGTCTGAAGAGCATTTCACAACGTTACTTGTGAAAGCAGCACCTTCCTCATTTTAGAGGAAGCCTGGCTGAGGGGCTTTCGGCTGCTACGCTGCAGCCAGCAAAGCCATTGGCGCCTCTGATCCGCCCTCCCTCCCTCATTGCAGGGTCGCAGAGAAGCTGCCGCGGCCCAACCTGCTGCTGCTCAAGCACCTGCTCTCCGTGCTCTACCTGGTCAGCAAGAACGCCGAGGTCAGCAAGATGGACGCCAGCAACCTCGCCATCTGCGTGGGGCCCAACATGCTGACCCGGGAGAGTGACCGGGACCTCTCGCTGGAAGCCCAGAAAGACTTGAACAATCAGGTTTGTTCCAGCCTCTTTCTGGGAAACTCCATTTCTGATCTCACTGCCTGTCCGCCTGCACATCGAAGTGATGCAGTGCCTCTGCGTCTCTCTGGCTGTTCGCCATCACAGCGCAGATGGGAAGCGCAGGGTGTCCTGGTCACAGCTCCACTCTTAGACGCATGCATTTCACGGACCTGACTAAGCCCGGCCTCGGCCCTCAGCCTCCCAGAGAGAGTTCAGTGCTTCCGAGGTTCACACCATCTCCCAGAGCAGAACGCCTTCACTCTGCCCTCTGTGCATCATACTCGGTCCAACTACGGGTTTGAGACTCTCCGTACTTAAAGGAAACGTTCGGGTTCTCAAATTAAACAGTGCTTGTCTCAGAAATAACTTCAACACAGATGATGGGTACCAAGTTTCCTGTCTGCTCTTTCCAGACACAGAACCTCTCTGAGGCTCCTTGTGACCCCGCCCTGACAGCTGCCCCTGTCCTGCCCCCCCCCCCCCGTCCCGTTAAGAAATAAAGCTGCCGTTAGCTGACCCTCTGCTCACGTGTCCTCCCAGGTGAAGAAGTTGGTGGAGTTCCTCATCGACAACTGCCCGGAGATCTTCGGGGAGAACATCCCAGTGCATTCCAGTTCCGTCTCCGACGACTCCCTGGAGCACACGGACGGCTCAGGTAGGGCGCTGTCAGCCTCGCATGGCACCAGCGTCGTGTCCCTGGCTGTGGGCAGGAGCTGTGACGGGCCGGGCGGGGCATGCAGTCGCCGTGGGGGGGAGGGTAACTGCGCTCAGGGCTCCCCGCAGCGTCTCTGCGGCCGCAGGCACCACCGCTGCGCCTGGGCCTCCCCGTTCCCAGTCAGAAACGGCCAGGCTTCTGATGACCCCGAGCCAGGGCGGGCCATCCCATCCTATTGCCACGGCGGGAGGACGGTCCGCTAAAATGGAGCTGGACCCGAGAAGGCCATCCAAAGGACCGCTTTGGAGTGAAGATCGGTCCATAGTCAGTGAAATGCTGTTTCCTCCCTCCCTCCCTGTCCCCATGGACAGAGTTAATTTTGAAAGAAACCAATATTTAATGTGGCAAATATCTTTCCTTTCAAACCCCAAAGTAGCTTCACCAAATTACCCACGGCCACATTCCATAGGGTGAGTGAGCTGTACGAAAGCTCCTTTTAAAGAATCTGAGCAGCAGCTCACCCCCCTCTCCTGTCTGCAGACACGTCGACCCTGCAGAATGACTCGGCCTATGACAGCACCGACCCTGACGGGGACTGCGGCAGCGCCCTGGGCTCCCCGGCCAGGCTGCCCCCGGGGCCCGGGGACACAGCCGCCCGCGTGGAGCCCGCGGCCAGCACGGTGGCCAGGCTGAAGCGCGCCCTCGACCCGGACAGGAGGCACTCGGAGCCCGGCGTGTCGCCCTCACCAGAGCGCCTGGGGCGCCGGCAAGCTAACCCGAAGCTGACCCGCAGCGAGGACGCGCCCAGGGCCCGGCCGGCCTCCAGCTCCGGAAGTGAGGAGGCCGAGGACCCCTTCCCCGAGGAGGTGTTTCCCGCGGGGGAAGGTGGGAGCCAGAGGCCGCAGGACCTGCAGGACCTGCATGTGCAGAGCTCCACGCGGGGCGCAGTGTCCCTGCAGGGACGGGCGCCCACGGCCTGCTCCAGTGGCTCCCTGGACGCCTCCTCTGACAGCTCGCCCCCGGCTTCCCCCTCCAGCCCCAGGAGAAACTTCTTCAACAGACACCAGTCTTTTACAAAGACAGATAAAAGCAAGCCCAGCAGAGAGATAAAAAAACACTCCATGTCCTTCTCCTTCGCCTCGCACAAGAGGGCGCTGCCCAGGCCCCCCAGCCTGTCGCTGAGAGCCAGAGGCCTGGCCAGAGACCCCGGCAGGAAAGACTTGAGGAGGGAGAGCCAGCTGGCTGGGCGAATCGTCCAGGAGAACTTGTCTGAAACCCCTGGCCAGGCAGCTCTGGACTTTAGCCCAGGATCCTGTGCCCTGTCCGGGGAGGACATGTTCCGGCTGGTGGACAGGACGAGGCCCGGCAGCCCCCCCTCCTACGAAGAGGCTGTGCGGGGCCAGGGCCTGGCGCTCGCTGCTCGTGGGAGCCAGACGGTTGGCAGCCTGCGGGCCAGGATGCTCAGCCTGGACTCAGGGCTGGCGCCTCGCCTGCCTGTGCACCACGGAGCGGACTTGGGGAGCACATGCGGCCAGGAGCCCCTCGATGGGCACAGACTCTCGCCCAGGACTGTGAGCTGGAGCCAGAGCAGGACTGGCTGTGCTTCTGGGGAGACGGTCGAACCAGTGACCGTCATCGGGAGGCCCGAGCTGCACCGGCTCAGAACTGTGTCCGAGTCCCCGCAGGGGGGCCCGTGGGACTGCCTGGCGGGGCGCTGCAGCCACAGCCAGCCGGCCTTCGAGGCTGACCAGCTGCTCTACGCCAAGGAGTCCTACATCTAGGAGCGGCCAGCGCGTGGCAGATGCGGTGGCCGCATGGACTGCTTCCAGAAGTTTCCTCGAAGTCAGAATAAGCTCCTTCGGGAGTCGTGTAGCCCTCAGCGAGGACAGCTGCACGGCCCTCGGTGCCGGCTGCGTGCACCGATCTGTGCACACACAGCTCACGTGTAGTGTGTTCCAGACAAGGCATCGAGTGCAGAGGTGTCCACGTAAACACGTGTCTGTACTTGTTTGTGAACTTGGGGTACACTGCACTGCTCTTCTCCACCTCCTGGGGCACTTTCTACCGGCTGGTGTTAAAACCAATGTTTTCTTTTTTATGTTGCTTCTAATGTCATGCCAGTTTCAAAGTTTCCACGAGCTCCGTTTAAGAGGATGTCTAACCCCGTCAGCAGCTCCCTAGCAGCAGGGGGCACCTCCTCGCTGCCGGAAGGGGAGCAGCAGACTCACCCGCAGGGGCCCCTGTGGGGTGTCAGGGACAGAGAAGCTGTTGTGGAAATGTATGGAAATACTTCCCTGTGTCCTTCTGATCACCTGGCTTCTAACTGGGATCGATGGGGAAACGCATTATACGAATAGCACTTTGAGGTACCTTGCGGTTCAGGGATTTCTTCCCCGGCATGCAGAGGGCGATACTTTATATGCATCAGGTCGTATATAAACTTCAGTTTAATCTCACTACAATAAATTGCCTGCCTTTTTCAAAGTAAAAATGTTCATTCTTCGTTTTTTGGTTTTGTTCATCCTCACCTGAGCATGTTTCCCCAGTGATTTTTAGAGAGAGAGAGAAGGGAGAGGGAAAGACAGAGAGAAACATCGATGTGAGAGAAATACATCAATTGGTTGCGTCCTGCACCAAAGCCAAAGAACATGCCCTTGCCCGGAATCAAACCCAGGACCCTTCAGTCCCAGAGTCGACACTGTATTCGCTGAACCAAAACCGCCATTCTTCACTGACATGTTACTTCCTTTCCCTCTGTTCACAGAACCCCACCAAGAAATCCACTCACATGATTCACTCAACAAGCACTTACTGCATAGATGTATTTATTATTCTAGACTAGTGGTCGGCAAACTCATTAGTCAGCAGAGCCAAATATCAACAGGACCACAATTGAAATTTCTTTTGAGAGCCACATTTTTTAAACTTAAACTTCTTCTAATGCCACTTCTTCAAAATAGACTTGCCCAGGCCGTGGTATTTTGTGGAAGGGGCCAAAGAGCTGCATGTGGCTCTCGAGCCGCAGTTTGCTGACCACAGTTCTAGACTAATAGCAAAGTTGGGGATCTTGTGTTTGGGAAAAGAGAATCCCTGTTCTGATGTTTGCAAAACCATAAAAATGTGCCCACTTTGAGTCATTTTTCAGCAGATGGTCACTCACAGGCCAGAGCATTTAGTCTGCAAAACAGGACGATAGAAAATACCGTATTTCCTGTCTTTTTAGTGACTTAAACCTTATTTTGATTATTAGCAAATATGATAGTTTATAAGAGATACTTGGAAATTGTCCTTATTTTATCACCTTCTCTCATAAAACACTGAAAGTTATATTGGTTAAAGGAATATTTCTGTATAGACTACCTGCCAGATGGTGCAGACCTATGTTTTCAGAGGTGGCTTATTAGTAAGTCACACAAAGTTAAAACTGCTGTAACTTGGATTGCTGAAGGCAGCACATTGAGGCCCAACAATATCATTAAAAATACTTTATTAAACACCAATGATAACATATAAATTTCAAGGACAGACAGCCCCTTCCCCGACTGCTAACCTAAGACAAGCAATCCTTTTCCAGAATTGGACATTACTAGAAATAGTTACCATTTTTAGCTTCTACCACACGGCCAGCGCTGTGCTACGTATTTCGGTACTGAGAAAAAATTTCCATCATGCTCTTAGCAACTTCTTACTGAGAACCGGAGAATTCTCAGCAATCGGTGGATAAGGCTGTAAGGTAGGAAGCCTCCAACCTCCTCCACTCTTCCCCTGACCTGACCTCTGTGACCCAACTCAGACCACGAAAGCCCTTCCCCAACCCCTCCCTGTAAAAAGGCAGGAGTAGATTGGAGCCTTCTCCCTCTGGCCTGTAGGACAGTTGCTGACAGGAGTTTCTTGCAGTCGAGCAAATGGCATCTCCGGGAAAGCCTTGTAGCAGTAGTGACAGGCCGGCGGTGCGCACTTCTTCACAAGAGGGTGGCCGGCCTGGCTGCCGTGCCGTGAGCCTGCCGAGCCACCACAAACCAGCGGCTCAGACATTGAATTAACTCCGAGAGACTGGAACGGAGCTGGGGATGTGGGTGGGGCTGGTGCCTGCAGGACCGTGAGGGAAGGAGCTGTCCCAGCCTCTCCCTGGCCGTAGATGGTTGTCTGCCTGTGTCCCCCACACTGTCTTCCCTCTGTGTGTCTGTCCCCAGATTCCCCTGTCTTGTGAGGACACCAGGCATTGGATTAGAGCCCGCTCCAATGACCCCACTTTCCTCTTTAAAGTCGCATCTGAGATACTAGGAGTGAGGGCTTTAACAAATTAATTTGTGAGGCAACGCCATTGAACCCTCTCCACCAGGTTTCACAGACAGTACTTACCGATACCTCGATGACACCGACAGTTTTTAGTACAGAGACAGAGGGCTCGCGCTCACAGTGAGAAGTGGGTGGTACCAGCATGGTACTTCAGGCCAGGAGCCAGGAAACCAGCGTTCTGTCCTCCACGGACCTCTTTGGGGCCCATAGTCCCAAATGGGACCATCACAAAGGGACCTGACTCCCAGGGTCAGTTGGAAGTGGAGGTCTACACAGGGGCTTCAACCTAAACCACCTCTGATGGCCAGTGTCTGAGCCTCGGCCTCCCAGCACCCCTGCACCACCGCTGGCCTGCCTGGCCCAGGAGGACGCCGGCCTCTTACAAGCGAGAGGCGAGAGCGGGCAAACCTCAGCACTCAGTGTCCTGGAGTCTGGCAGGACAACTAGAATTCCTTGCTAGTAAAGCAAGCCATGGTGAAGGCCTCGTGCTTCCATGGCCAGAAGAGAGAAGGGCCCACGCTGGAGTCCTCACGCACCGTTATTAACTTAAGTCCTGCTGGATGTTCCTGATTGCCATCTCCCTGAGGCAGCGTCAGTACCGCCCTCCTCCAAAGGTCAAGTGGACAGAAACCCGCCTCAGCTGGGTCTCACATACGTGGAGAGTTTTAATTGAATTATGTGAGATCTTAACTCTCGATCCACAGAGGCCGGATTGCTGAGGAATCAGCGTACAGACATTTTGCGAGCGGTACAAACAGATCACTTCCTGGCACTGTCTTAACTGCAGATTCAGACCCTGCGTGTGTCCACTCCCGGTTCAAAGTCCATGTCAGGGAGGAAGGACCGGGGATGAGGGCGGCCCCCCTCCTATTACAGGCGGCAGAGAGGGGGCCCAGTGAGCCACGGCCGCAGAAGCAGAGAGGAAACTCAGAGCGACAGCATCTCTGGAGGAGATGAGACCCGAATTCACAGTCCCTGAGCCCACACCCTACGTGTGCCACCAGGAGCCAGGTGCCCAGCTGTCTGAGCCCCAGCTTCTTCACCCATGCAATGGAGGAAACCCTAGCACCACATCAGTTGTGGAATTAAAGAATTCAGCGCAAAAAATATGACAGTGGGTCCCTATAGTCATTCACCTGCTCCCACCTGGGCCTCATGGGAAACTCTGAGTTAGGATTTCCCCAGGCTGCTGCTGACTGCCCTTCCTTCATCGCCCACCCCAGAGGCCTCTGGCCCTTCCGCCATCCCCTGGGTCCTCTCTTCGGCTCTGGTCTAGATTCAGACTCTGTGAGGAGATGTCAGGCCTTCTTTCTTTCCTTTGTTACTTGAAGCATTTTCTGAGCTCCGAGTGGGTGCCAGGAGCTATAACTAGACTGGGAATTCTTTGTTTTGTTTGAAGTTCACTGCCGTTTCATTTCATTGTCATGACATCATGAGATGAATGTTCATATCCATGTTTTTCTATGTGAGAAAGGATGGAACTGGCCCCTGGCCACACGCTGATGCAAAAGGAAGTGGGCATTTGATGAGAGCAAGATATTGAAAAGCTATTTGAAGAAATAATGACAGAAAACTTCCCCCACCTGGTGAAAGAAATAGATTTACAAGTCCAGGAAGCGCACAGAACCCCAAACAAGAGGAATCCAAAGAGGACCACACCAAGACACATCATAATTAAAATGCCAAGAGCAAAAGACAAAGAGAGAATATTAAAAGCAGCAAGAGATAAAGTTAGTTACCTACAAGGGAGCACCCATACGACTCTCAGCTGATTTCTCAACAAAAACTATGCAGGCCAGAAGGGAATGGCAAGAAATATTCAAAGTGATGAATAGCAAGAACCTACAACCAAGATTACTCTACCCAGTAAAGCTATCATTCAGAATTGAAGGTCAGATAAAGAGCTTCACAGATTTAAAAAATAAAAAATAAAAAAGCTAAAGGAGATCATCACCACCAAACCGATATCATATGAAATGCTGAAAGGTATTCTTTAAGAAGAGGAAGAAGAAGAAAAAGGTAAAGATAAAAATTATGAACAACAAATACATATCTATCAACAAGTGAATCTAAAATTCTGGTGAATAAAAAGTCTGATGAACTGGTGAATATAATAGAATCAGGGGCATAGAAAAGGAATGGAGTGAAAATCCTCAGGGGGAAAGGGGAGTGGGGGGTGTGGAAAGAGACCGGACAAAAATTGTACACCTATGGATGAGGAAGGTAAGGGCAGAGGATGGAGTGGGAACCGGTGGAGGGGAGTTATTGGGGGGAGGGGGGGAGAAGGAGGAAGAAGAACAATTATAATAATCTGAACAATAAAAATTTATTTTAAAAAAATAAGAAGAAAAAGTCCACCCAAGGGAGGCTCAGGGCCTTTCACAAAAACAACTCTCATTTTTAAAAAATAGGAAGAGGGTGGGGGTTTTTATGTCTCCTTACAAGAAGTTTCCATCCGCTGGCTTCAAATTTTACTTTTCATTCAAAAGCCCAGCATGGCTTTGTGTTGGAAACGTCAGGACCGGAGCGCCCTTCTCTCACCTCTGAGTCACGGTGTGCCTGTGCGGTGGGAGCATCCTCTCCCTCCGACCTGAGAGGGAGGAAGCTCTGCCATCAGAAGGAAATGAGCGTAAGTGGAAGGAAATGATCGTAAACACCCCATTCGGAGCACTCTCTTTCCTCTCTCTCTCTCTCTCTCTCTCTCTCTCTCTCTCTCTCTCCCTCTCTCTCTCCTTTCCCCCCCCCCCCCTCTCTGAAACTCAGCAGCTCCGACCCTGAATATGCACCTCAGAAGCACACAACAGCTTCACAAAGAACGGGGCTGTCTCGGCTCCCCTCCTTCAAGCCCACCTCCTGTAGGAAAAACAATGCAAAAGTCACCAGCACAGATTCAAGAGTGAACACCGATGTTTACACTGAGCGAGGAACAAAATCACACGTCGTCAGTTTAATGAAACTGACGTTAAATAAAGTGTAAATTTAACGAAGCTGTATTTTTAAAATTTTATTTTTAATATATATTTTATTGATTTTTACAAGAGGAAGTGAGAGAGACAGAGAGCTAGAAACGTCGATGAGATCAGCTGCCTCTTGCACACCCCCTACTGGGGATGTGCCCGCAACCAACGTACATGCCCCTCACCAGAATCGAACCCGGGACCTTTCAGTCCGCAGACCGACGCTCTACCACTGAGCCAAACCGGTTTCGGCTGAAGCTGTATTTTTATAACAAACAAAATCCCCCTCAAAATCACATGATGTTCTTATTGACATCGCCCCCAGCAATGACATTACAGACTCCGAGACAGTTCGATACCGCTCCCTTTTGTGCAGTTTTAGGGTGCACACCCCTTTAGTCACTTCTCCCTGGCCAGCCAGCTCAGTTGCTTTGAATGTAGTCCCAATACGCCAAGCTTTTGGAATCAATCCCTGGTCTGAGCACACACAAGAAGCAACCAATGAATGCATCAGTAAGTGGAACAACAAATCAACCATTCTCCCCCCCCCCACTTCTGTCTCTCTAAAAATCAATTTAAAAATTTTTAAATGATTTTGTAATATTTTGTCGAGAAAATAAAAGTTAATTTTTTTTAGCTTGCTGGATTAAAATTTGAGGTTCTCTGCAGCATTAATAGTTGAGTCATTCCCAAGCCTCCTGGAGCAGAGATCCCCAGGCCCCCTGCTTCCTGTTCCCACCCCCCGAACCCACAGCCCCTGGGAGCCTCAGAAAATGGTGATTACTTAAGCCACTCATTTCTGGGGCAACTAGTTACCCAGAAATAGAAACTAGAAATGTTCTGGTTCTTAGTATTTTTCTTTTCTGTGCCTGTGCTATTAAGGATGTATTTCTTACCGAAGTGAGTCACTGACTTCTTAGATCCAGAGGAAATGATAGTGTGTCTGAAATTCTGAGATTTCCTTTAAGGAACAGAAACCCAACAGATCAGCGACATTTCTAGACGTTATTATTCTATGCACATAGTGAAATACTGCCCCCACCCCCGTAGACAATGCTGGGACAGTCACAAGTCCCGGGGGAAGGAAGATAAAGAGAAGCTTGAGAACTGCAACACCGTTCGCTAGTCTTGCCCAGCAAAGAGTGCCACAAGTCAGGCAAAAGTCAAAAAAGATGCAGAAAAACATGTGACACCCTGCTCTCCCCTGGAGAACAGGTGGGGGGTTCCTTCTGAGCATCCTGTCTCCACCAGGTAGAGTGAAGCCAGTATGAGCAGATACTGGAACCAAATCAGTTTTAAGAGGTAGTCACACATGACATTGCTTCTGAAACATAGAGCAGAGCTCGTGATGTGAGAAATGTGCTTTCTGGGGCATGGCAGCAGCAGCCGGGGGCCAGTCGAACGCCTGCACTTTGTCCGACATGAATATGTTGGTCTTATAAAGTCCTTATCACTGAGATCTTCATGTTTTAAAAGATATATTTGTATTGGTTTCAGAGGGGAAGGGAAGGGGAGGGAGAGAGAAACATCAATGATGAGAGAGAATCATTGATTGACTGCCTTTGCATGCCCCCTACTGGGGATCAATTCCACAACCTGGGCAGGTGCCCTGACCGGGAATCAAACCGTGACCTCCTGGTTCATAAATCAAAGCTCAACGCTGAGCCATGCCAGCCAGACTAAATTTTTTAACAGCTGCCTTGGGTAGCAGAAATCTTCAAGTATTTTTTTAATGGGGCGGAATGGGGTGCTCACATTGGTGTCATTCAAATCCTGACTCCGGTAGTGACTGGAGCCCCTTCCCCACAACACAGCCATTCCTGAAGCCACAGGAACTGCCCTGGTAAACTTCAAACATCCTCTTCTTCTCAGGCAACTTCCGATGAGTTTCTACCACGCGCAGCCAGACTCTCCACTGGCATAACCGTCTAATTAATTTCTACACCGCTATGAAGGTAGGCCTACATTTTACAAAAATTGTTTTAAATCTCATTTACATAATACTTCACAATTTTCGAGACACTCTATACACATTATCTCTTTTGATATGCAAAAATAATGGTGTAATACAAGGAACCCAGTGTCTATTATCTGTTATTTTAAAATAACAACAAATATGTTGTCTCTGTCGAGGAGACAAAGAATCATTTACATTTTTCCTGAGGTCACACAGCTAGCAAGTGCAAACCTATGGCTCAACTCCAGTCCCCAACTCCAGATTCAGTGCTCTCAGCCCACACCCAGCTCTGCCCACTCCTGCCTGGTGCCCAGGCCCCCTTCTCCTGTGCCATGTGCACACACCAACATTCCCGAGAGCCCGGTTCTAGGAAACTCTCCCGCCATGTCGATGACGGCTTTCTAGTTGGCCTGCTTTGTAAATGTGAGGGTTTTTTTAATAGTATTCCCTTAATGCAAGGTGTACTTGTGCTGCAATTATTTTATCGGCTAAAGCTAACAAAGTGTTAGTGACACCTTGTGGCAAGAAACTTGTAAATTCATGTGCTACTGCTACCACGCACTTTCCATAGGTCCATAGCCTCGGGCACTTCACTGAGGAGTGAAGACAGCACAGCTCCTCTGAAGGACAATCTATGGTTACAGATTCCACACCTCAGATCAGGTCTCTCGGGGAAACACACACTTCCTTACACACAGACAACGTTGTTGACACTGGAACACGGAACCGAAGCTTCTGCACATGTAAGTGCAGACCCAGCCCATGACCTGTGGTTCTTCAGAGCCTGGGCGGGCACGGGAAGGCACAGGAGCCCACAGAAAGGCCCACAAAGCGCCCACCCCGTTCCCAAAGCGATGCCTGCAGGCAGCCCTTGTCGCTGGGTGGACCAAGCATCCTCTGAGGTGCCAGCAACCGGGCAGGAAGAAGACAAGAAAGGTGGCAGGTGTGGGGACTGCGTGATGAAGCCCGGACCCATGACCCAGGAGACCAGGGTTCAGATTCCGGGTCAGGGCATACGCCCGGGTGGCAGGCCCAATGCCCGATCCTGACCAAGGCAGCTAATCAAGGATTCGCTCTCGCCGAAACTGGTTTGGCTCAGTGGATAGAGCATCGGTCTGCAGACTCAAGGTTCGATTCAGATCAAGGACATGTACATTGGTTGCGGGCACATCCCTGGTAGCGGGTGTGCAGGAGGCAGCTGGTTGATGTTTCTCTCTCATCGATGTTTCTAGCTCTCTATCCCTCTCCCTTCCTCTGAGAAAAATCAACCATATATATATATATATATATATATATATATATATATATATATTTATAAAAGAATTCTCTCTCATCACTGTTTTTCTCTCTCTCCCCCACCCCCCCTTCCTCTCTGAAGTCAATAAAAACACATTTTAAAAAGGCGGTGAAAGATGAGACAGAGGAGGAGACCAGGTCACAGGCTTCATTAGAGAGGAAGGACCTTGCCAAAGGAAGAGAGCTCAGGTGCAGGGGTGAAGGCGCCTTTTGAGGGGAGAAGTGGGAAGGGATGGGATTTAGGGAACTCGGCCGGCGCTGATTAGTGGCTTCCTATAAGGCACATGATTAGGCACTCAGGGACTTTAGGAATCAGGGCTTAGGGTATTTGGCATGTGCTGATGGTGGTGCAATGCACAGTCCATACAAGGTGCCAGGTTAGGTGCTCGGGAATGTCCAGGCTGCAGGTGCAGGTGTCACACTCCCTCCATCCGTTGGGGGGAGGAGGCTCTATCAGGCGGGGATGCTGCGGAGCCGGGTGGGAGACGGCGGTGCTGGGAGACCCAGGGGGCCCTGCCGCCGGCCCGGGCACAGAGCCGGCAGCCTGGGCTGGTGAGCGGTGGCGTCCCCGTGGGCAGCCGGGGAGCGGGCAGCGGGGGGCAGCAGGAGAAACAAGCGGGGAGGCCCCTACGGAGCGGGAGCACGAGGCCTGGCGGAACAGCGCCAACACCCGCGCCCACAGCCACACCGGAAGCGGGGCCCGGACCGCCGCCGCGTCCCCCGAGGCCGCAGCCGAGGGCGCCACGCCCACTTCCGACTCCCGGCCAGGGAGCTGCTAACGCGCAGGCGCACCCGCCGGGAGGCACGGTGGGCGGAGTCAAGAGCCGGAAGCGGACGGCCCTAGGGACCGTCCCACGAAGCCCGCCCCTCGAATCGGCCCGGATGCCCCGCCTCCCGGCGGAACTCGGGGTTGCTGGGCAACCGGTGCGGGCGCCGCCGGCGGCTCTGAGCTCCCGCCCGCCCGCCGAGTGTGGCTCCCGCCTCTCGCTCCTCCGCCTCCTCTCCCGGCGCCTGGCAGCCCTGCCCGGGCCCCGCGTGACCCTCTGCGGCCCCACGCCGCCTCGGCGCCCGCCCGCCCCGAAGCCAGCTTCCCCTGAAGCCCGGCGCCACGATGCCCGGTGCCACGATGCCCGGCGCGGCGTCTGGGACCATGAGCACCACCTACACCTACACCAGCCGCCCGCGGGCGCCGCCCTGCCGCCTGCGCTACAGCATGTCGCAGCCGTGAGTGCCGCCGCCCCCGGTGCCCCCGGTGCCCCCGGGCTCGGCCCCGCCGCCCCCGCCGCCCTCCTGACACCTGCCCCCGCGCCCTCAGCCCCTCCGCGCCGCCCGAACGGAGCTCTGCCCCGACCGTCCTGCGCGCGGGAGCGAGGGCAGGAGGCCAGGAGGGCAGGAGGGCCTGCGGTCCCCGAGCTCAGTGCTAGGGATCATGAATTGCGAACCCATTTCACAGAGTGTGACCCAACGGATGTGTCCTCCCTCCAGCCCTTTACACGCACGTTCTCACCGCGGGCGCAGGGCTGCGAAGCCGGCCCTGTGACTCCATGTGCAAACCGGGAAGCCGGTGCAAGTGTCACTCAGTGAGCGCGCGCCCAGAACGGGGCCGGGCCAGGCTTTGGTCAAAAATCCGGTGGTCCTTTCATGCTGGACCCCAGATGGTGTTTTTACATGGATGAGCATTTGCTAATATTCAAATAGCTATATGTTTTTTAAGTATATTTTTATTGAGTTCAGAGAGGAAGGGAGAGAGATAGAAACGTCAATGATGAGAGAGAACCATGGATCGGCCGCCTTCTGCACGCCCCTTACTAAGGATCAAGCTCACAACCCAGGCACGTGCCCTTGACTGGAATTGAACCCAGGACCCTTCAGTCTGCAGGTGGATGCTCTATCCACTGAGCCAAACCAGCCAGGGCCAAATATCTATATTTTAAAAGGACCGTAATCATTATGTTCCCTTGAAGTTCCTTCCATAAGCATCACCTTTGGGAATCATCAGAACTTCCCAAGAATGCAGGTCCGTCGAGGCAGGAACCTTTCCGTCTGTGGTCTCACCAGGACCCTGTCTGAGGCACAGTAAGCACCCAATACAAACTGCTGAATTAATGGCTGGGCATCAGCAATAGAACTTTTTTTAAAATATATATATTTTTACTTATTTCAGAGAGGAAAAGAGAGATGAGAGAGAGAATCATTGATTGGCTGCCTCCTGCACACCCCCTACTGGGGATTGAGCCAGCAACCCAGACATATGCCCTTGACCCTTCAGTCCGCAGGCCCACACTCTGTCCACTGAGCCAAGCCAGCTAGGGCGGCAATGTAATGCTTGATGCTCATTTAAAAAACTGAGTTCAAATTCATAATTATCTTACTCTGACAAAGGCATTTTTAATAAATACTAAATCACTTTTTAAAAAAATATATTTTATTGATTTTTATACAAAGAAAAAGGGAGAGAGATAGAGAGTTAGAAACATCGATGAGAGAGAGTCATCGATCAGCTGCCTCTTGCATACTCCTACTGGGGATCTGCCCGCAACCAAGGTACATGCCCTTGACCAGAATCGAACCCGGGTCCTTTCAGTCCCCAAGCCAACGCTCTATCCATTGAGCCAAACCAGTCTCGGCAATGTTAATTATCTCTTGCTCACCTCTACTCCCACCTCCATGTTGTAAGCGAACTTAACAAGGGAGAGAGAGAGAGACTGGAACATCAATGATGAGAGAGACTAATTGATTGGCTGCCTCTTGCACACCCCCACTGGGGATCAAGCCTGAAACCCGGGCTTGTGCCCTTGATTGGAATCAAACCCAGGACTCTTTAGTCTGCAGGTCAATGCTCTGTCCATTGAACCAAACCGGCTAGGGCTCTTTTTGGCTTTTGATAGCATAAAACTCAATTAAAGTTTGCCCTCATTATTACATTAATTAGCACTGGAAGGCTTTAATCAAGCAAGCATTATGTTTGGATTTTTCCATTCTAACAGCTGCCTGGCTACAATTTATAGGCCAGATTGCGAGGTTTTGTTCCAGACAGTTGAGATGTTTGCAATAGCCCAGGTAAGATAGTGGGGTGGAGCATGGGTAGAGCGATGTGAGAGAGATTGCTGATGAGAATTAACAGGACTTGCTGGATGTCGGGAGTGGGGAACAGGAAAGAGTTATGACGACTCCCAGGCTTCTAGATTAAGTCAAATGAACTAGGGAACACTAAAGGAGGAGCGAGGTGGAGTGGGGGAATCCCAGTTAGTTCAGTGAGGTTGCCTTTGAGACATCTTAGCGAGATGCCGTCGGACAGATCAGCTGGCTGTACGTGGTTAGCGCTCAGAGGAGAGTTCTGAGCTAACCCTGACACTGGGAGTTTTAAGCATACGGGTCTTAAGTGAAGCCTTGAGAATGGATGAATTTAACTAAGGAGCCCGAAGGAAATCCTCCAGGACAGGAGGCGCTGTCCACAGGGTGAGAAAGAGCGAGGGAGAAGGAGCAGAAAGGCGATGGGGGGATGCGGTGTGTCGCCGAGGTTTGGGAGGGGTGTTCTGGGAAGGGGCGGCCAGAGGACAAGCAGTCCAGCAGGGCCGGGACCCAGTAATATGAAGTCAGGTAATCCAATGGGGTTTCGATCTGTGGTACACAAGCAGCATATGCCCCCTCCGCATCATTTCTGATGGAGGCTGTTACTGGTGTAGTGAGATATTCGGCTTTATAACCATAAGTAGAATGTCATTTAAAGCACCTTGGATGAAAATTTCAACTGTACTTTTCACTGGTGATCATTACACCCCAAATTAAAACAATATAATTTTAAAAGATCTTTTAAGTTAAAGAACAACGAGAAGTTTAACTTGTTTTATTTTATTATGCCTGTTTCTATTAATGTAATTTTTAGTCCTTGAATCAAACTTTTGTCAGTTCTTTAGGGCAGATCCCTTTTCAGTTTTGGGTGTTTTGTTTATTTGTTTGTTTGTTTTTTATTGGTTTCAGAGAGAGGAAGGGAGGAGAGAGAGAAAGAAAGAGAAACATCAATAATGAGAGAGAATCATTGATCAGCTGCCTCCTACATACCCCATACTGGGGATGGAGCCTGCAACCTGGGCATATACCCAGACTGGGAATCGATCTGTGACCTCCTGGCTCATAGGCTGTCGCTCAACCACTGAGCCACACCGGCCAGGCCCCTTTTCCGTTTTTAATGGTAAGAAGTTTAAAGTTTTACAGCCCATATCCAGCTCTGCCACTTACCAGCAGACTTCTTTCTGAGTTTACTTCCTCTTTTTTCCAATGAGGATTATATTTCCCAACTTTAAGCTTATCTTGAGCAATAAATAAAATAATCCATGTGAAGGGTGTATCATCAGCATTCCCTAAGTGGCAGCCATTTGTCCCCTTATTTTTTGGACTGTGCTCAAACAAAAATCCGTTTCCTTGAACCATTTCCATCTTAGTCTAAGTTTTACAGGAAACGAGTTGGCCTCGTAGGTACCAGCAGTCAGTCATTCAGAATTTGTGCTCTCACAGGCCTGACGAGCCGCTGCCATTCGGGAACATCATGTATGACAGAAGGGTGGTCCGCGGCAACACCTACGCTCTGCAGGTGAGGATTCGAGTGAAGTGAAGGCCAGTTCATGTGTTTGTTTCTTTTCATTTCTAATCTGTTGCAGACTAAAACATGCATAAAATAAGATTTTAAAAAATGGAGTACTAGAAAAATGAATAGTCCTATTAACTATTAAGGAAATTAAATTTCTAATTTAAAAGTTTCCCAAAAGAAATTTCCAGGCCTAGATGGTTTCCCTGGAGAATTATACCCAACATGTAAAAAAAAGATTTTTCATCAATTTTACACAGTCTCTTCTGGAAGATAAAAGAGGAGGGGATATTTCCCAACTTATTTTTTTGAGGCCAACGTTGCCCTGATACCCTTTCATTTCCAAAAGAAGAAATGAATAGCTAACCACTGTGAAGCACACCTGAAACTAATGTAAGAGACTAGTGGCACAGTGCACAAAATTCGTGCATGGGGGTGTGCGTGCCTCAGCCAAGCCTGCACACTCCAATCTGGGACCCCTTGAGGGATGTCTGACTGTCCAGTAGGATCGGGCCTAAAAGGACAGCTGGACATCCCTCTCACAATCCAGGACTGCTGGCTCCCAACTTCTCACCTGCCTGTCTTTTTGATTGCCCTTAACAGCTTCTGCCTGCCAGCCTGATTAGCCCCAACTGCCCTCCCCTGCAGGCTTGATTGCTTTCAAGTGCCCTCCCTTGCAGGCCTGGTTCCACCCAACTGCTCTCCCTTGCTGGCCTGATCACCCACAACTGCCCTCCCCTGCTGGCCATCGGGTAGTGGCCATCTTATGTCCACATCAAGGCAACCATCTTTGACCGCATGGGGGCAGCCATCTTGTGTGTTGGAGTGGTGGTCAATTTACATATTACTCTTTTATTAGATGGGATTATTGTCAACTGTAATTGAAAAGTAAAAATAATCGTAGTGCTTTTCAATTTCTTACTTGTACATTAAAATTTATTACACCTGGATGGTTATTTGGTATACTAGGTTACTAGGCACGGGAGGAAATCCTGCTAAAAGTACTTGAATGAGGAAAAGGATTTCTTAGCTAAGGTCCTGCACCATTTGTTCCACTTAACAGTCGTACTTTCAGGCTGCTTTTGTGCTTGGCAGACAGCTTGGCGGTGACCGGGCCAAGTGCAAATGACATTTCCGTCCCCAGGTCCCCGCCGCTCCGGAGCTGCGATGCCGGGCGCCTTGCGTCTCCCCAGGAGTCGCTTTTGCAATGCGCTCCTGTTTGCTTTGAGAAATGGTTTCTAAACTGTAGGCCCTTTTCCGTCACTCTCAGCGCGGGCACGCCATCGACGAGCATGCTCAGAAGCTGCAGGAGACCAAGAAGAGGGTGGCGGCCAAAAGACGCGCCCAGGAGCAGCTCCGGCCGCACACGCCCGAGCCCGTGGAGGGCAGGAAGCACGTGGACGTGCAGACAGGTCAGTGCGGGCCGTGGCCGTGGCTCCTCGCCTGCTCAGTTTCCTGCCGGTTCCTGTTAAGTGGTCTTCCTGTTATTTAGGCGTCTGTTGTGCTCCCAGTTCTTCCCAGCCACTTAGTAGAAGGCAATTCATTAAAACAACTCCTCCATTACATGTTATTATTATGTTGGCTACACGTGGCAATGTGGGATTTTTTTTTTTTATAGGATTTTATAACCAGATCAATCCTCTCTCAGCCCTTTTTACGTATTTATTTTCAAACTGGGGTTCTTGCTCACTTTTTTTTATAGTCCAACATGAATCACTGTTGGGCTCACAGGAGAGGAGAAGGTTGTAGTTCGATTTGGGCGTTTTATTTGCCTCCTGAGAGGGGTAAGGCCTTCCAGACTGAGCCCTCTGCCTCTCACCTGGCCCTGTCTGCCCTCCCCGCTGCTCTCCTGTCACTCGGTGCTCCCTGGCCACATGCCCTCCGCCGGCTAGTGCCAGGCCTTTCCTGCCGTCTGACTGTCCCCAGCTGGAGGGCTTCCCGGGCCTGTGGGTCTGGCCGTGTGGGTGACAGAATCTTGATAATCAGACAGCACTTGCGCTTCCATGGACGGCCACGTATCCGCCCACTGGGCACCTTGCACCCGGCCACAATGGTGAGTGTGTTCTCAGAGGGTTTCTGGGTGGCAAGGGCAAAAGGAGGACCATTACGCTTTTTCCCGACCTTGAGGCCAAGTCTAGAATGAGTAAGTGTGATTAGCCAATACAGTTGTCATTCTGTGAGAGATTCATTTTAATGTTTATCTGTATCATCAGAATAGTAGGTGATAAACATAGCCACCTTTTGTTGAGTATTTCCTATCTCAGAGTCTATACATGGGGCATAACACCTTTAAATATGCAGGAATTTTCAAATCTCTGTATGTTTACTAGCTTAGGAGTCGATTTTATAAGATTATTAACTTTCCATGTCACATTATGCTTTGCATCTTATATACATCTATGGTGTTAGTTTCATTTTCAAATGTAAAGCTCAGTGCTTTCTTGATGTTGAGTGTATTCTAGCCCAAGTGACTCTCTGACCTTCCAAATATAGAAAAATGCTTAGTACAACTTGTGAATTGACTACCCCATTTGAGCACTTCCTAAGACTTGTTTTCTGATCCATTTAATTCTACTTTGAAGGAGCTGAAGTTTCAGATACAGATATATGCTTGAAATAGACCCGAATGTCAAACTCAATGTATATGGTATTCTCTTAGAATTATACCTTGAAGAAATTGCTGATCGCATAATAGAAGCTGATATGGAATGCCAGACAGATGCGTTTTTGGACAAACCACCAACACCACTTTTTATTCCTGCCAAAACTGGCCAAGATGTGGCCACCCAAATTGAAGAAGGAGAGGTATAGTACATTATTCGGACTTTCTTCTTTCTTCTTTATAAATAGGTAAAGTTAGGTTTAGTTAAAATCTTAATAGGAATACAAAGCACTGCACAATCAAAAAGATTCTACTCACTGGATTTCTTTCCAGATTTACCTCTAACAGTTTTATTCTGAAGTACCCAGAAATATTTTTAAATGCCATGCTCTGATTTCCCCCTTTGCTGATCAGAGATAAAACTCATTGCCGAAGCCAGTGTGGCTCAGTGGTAGAGCGTCGGTCTGCGGACTGAAAGGTCCCAGGTTCGATTCCGATCAAAGGCATGTACATTGGTTGCAGGCACATCCCCAGTAGGGGGTGTGCAAGAGGCAGCTGGTCGATGTTTCTCTTTCATCGACGTTTCTAGCTCTCTATCTCTCTCCCTTCCTCTCTGTGAAAAATCAATAAAATATTTTTTTTTAAAGTTGTAGATATTAAAAAAAAAATCGTTAGCAATGTTTTTTGCTTTTATGTATCTGCATTCTTGCTTAGTATACAAATATAAGTAGATTTATACCAAATAAGGAAATATAATATCTCTGTGATGAAAAGATTCTATTAGTTGCTTATAAATTACATAATTTTTATGAAGATAATCTATGTCAAAAAGTTCTAAAACAATTACATTTTCATATCAATGTGGAATGTGTTCTGAAATGTAAGGAGAGAAGGCAATGCTTCTGTGCATAACGACTTAAATGAGGTTAAAACTTGAAGGAACTTGAAAGAACTGTCATTGAAATTAAGAAATCAAGTAAGTCTTCATAAGCTGCATAGAAGAGTATATTTTGCCTTTAAATCCTAAAGATGAATCACCATAATGCCCCTTATTCTTGTTGCTAGATTTGCAACTGTTATCAAAAACAACCAGTACAAATTTAGTAGGAAAGGCAGGGAATAAGAAAGAAGAATATTCCTCTTGGGTTTTAGAGTCTGACCTTAAAGTTGTTGAGTATCGGGGATCATTTTGAAGACTGCATGCATCTTTCCGTGACTCTGACTTAATTTTGCCCGGGCCCAGAAGGCTCCTCTGTGTGCCTGCAGGGCTGCTGTGAGGGCGGGGCCACAGACACAGCCGCACAGTCCCGCACACAGACGCTCATACCTAGGATGGTGTCACTGCCCTTCTGCGTGTTGTGTCATTGAGCTTTCGGTTCATGATTAACATGTGACGTTCGCTTTGTTCTGTGCATTAAGCTCTTTGACTTTGACCTGGAAGTGAAGCCAATGCTGGAAGTGCTGGTGGGAAAGACCATTGAGCAGGCCCTGCTGGAGGTGATGGAGGAGGAGGAGCTGGCCGACCTGCGGGCCACTCAGCACGAGTATGAGGAGCTGCGCAACGTGGAGCTGGCGGAGGTCCAGAGGCTGGAAGAGCAGGAGCGGCGGCACCGAGAGGAAAAGGTAGGGTTCCGCTTCCTCCTCAGACCGCCCTTGGCTGGGCAGCAGTGTGCTCAGAATGGCACGGGGTCTGTCCCAGAGCCGAGGTCTTGAGAAATGTGCCAGGAAAGACGAATAGTATTTGTTTAGGTCTCTCCTGTTCTCGGATAGAGATCCTTTGTGAACTGATAGATCCTTTAAATCCCAGCCTCTGTAACTGTACCTAAATGAAGTACCAACCATTCCTCAGTTACTTAAGTTACATGTGTCCCAACTGCAAGGCCCTCTTAACTAGCAAGAGCCCCAGTGAAAGAACAGGTGGATTTGCCAAAAGTTAGCGGCAGGAAAGGTGGACGGAAAAGGTGAGTGTATCTGAACGGTGAGCGATAGAGTTCTGGGTCTCTCTCAGCGGCTAGACCTTCTCATATCCTTAGGGATACACCAGAGCCACTTGGTCCTTAGAGAACAATTTTAAAATTATAGGTTTTTATAACCTTTCAAAAGGAAGCTTGTAGAATCCAATTTTTCAAATAGGCCACTAACCTCCAGCTAGGAGACACTGGGCTCGGAGTGTCTGGCAGTTACTGTCGCCCTGGCTCACACCGGCAGAGGGAATGATGGAGCCGGGACCTGGCACAGCTCACATAGCTCCCAGAGAGCCCCCGAGCCGCGCAGAAAGGCTTAGTGGTCGGGATGGTCTACTCGGTGCCCAGTCAGATGGGCGTTCAGTCCCCCCCAAGTGGAAGAGCATAGGACTTTACTTGGTAAGAGCACACGCCTTATGGTTAAGATTGTGCAAATGCAATGCTATTTGTTTACAAATGTAAAATGAACACTGACAAAATGAGCTTTGTTGAAATAATCGGTGAATTTATCAGAGTACTTATTTGTTAGTTTATTTACCATTAGGAAATATATTATGAAAAACTGAAAAATACAAATCATCTATATTGACATTTGCTTAAACCTTGAAACAGACGTAATTAGAAAATATATCACGCACCCACTCGTGCGGGGAGTAGAGAATATGGCCTATGGCCCATTACCTTTATAGGGATCGTATGGTCTTCAAGAAGCAGCAGCACCAAAAAAGAGGTTTAATCATTTTGGCAACTTTATGACTTCAAAAAATCATTACGACTGAGACAATTCATTGGCCCACATTCTTTACTGGAGACATCTAAGCAGCTATGATTTTCATATCAGCATTACTTATACAGCTATGTAAAAGTACATATAACTATTATAACACTTTGATAGCCATACAAACATATATATCTTGGAATTATTTTACTCGAAAATGAACCAGGAGATGAATTTTACCGTAAGCTCCATCCTGAGTTCAGTACCTACGAGCTGTTGAAATTCGTTACCATCTTGATGGAAACTAGGAACATTCAATGGACATCTTGCTGTCCATTCTTTTCATACAAATATAAGTCTGGTTCTTCCTCAAACTCGCTTGGGGGAGGCCGTGGCCGCTGAGCAGCCGGCCGCTGGTGTGCCCGCAGGAGCGCCGGAAGCAGCAGCAGTGGGAGGTGATGCAGAAGCATCAGGAGACGGCGCAGAAGATCGCCGCCCGCGCCTTCTCGCAGCGCTACCTGTCCGACCTGCTGCCCTCCGTGTTCGGCAGCCTCAAGGACGGGGGCTACTTCTTCGACCCCGTGGAGAGAGGTGTGTGGGGGTTTCTCTTAGCTTAACCCTTCTTCTTCTTTTTTTTTTTTTTTATTAAATTATTATCTGTGTTCATATAACATTGCCCCCCCTCCCATACATGCCCTCCCTCCCCAGAGTTTTGTGTCCATTGGTTGTACTTATATGCAAGTATACAAGTCCTTCGGTTGATCTCTTATCTCCCCCAGATCTCCCTACCCTCCCCGCTGTGATTTGACAGTCTGCTTGTTGCTTTACTGTCTCTATATCTATCTTTTGGTTCATCCGTTTATAATGTTCTTTACTATCCATAAATGAGTGGGGTCATGTGGTGTTTCTCTTTCATTGAGTGGCTTATTTCACTCAGCATGATGTTCTCCAATTCCATCCAGGTTGCTGCAAATGATGAGAATTCTTTCTTTTTTATGGCAGTATAATATTCCATTGTGTAGATGTACCATAGTTTTTTTATTCAATAATCTGCTGATGGGCACATAGGCTGTTTCCAAATCCTAGCTATTGTAAATTGTGCTGCTATGAACATAGGGATGCAGCTTAACTCTTTTTAACTGTTCGGATTCACCTCCTACCTGCTTTTATTTCCAAATGGAACCTTCCTATCTCTGATGCAGATGTAAGAGTCAGTTGGCGTTGTGTTAGGTAAAAGGTGTTACTAATGAGTCTATTATAAAGCTCTGGATTTTAGGGCGCCAGCTTGCCTCTCTTCAGAAGCAGCACTGGACTGTAGGAAGAAATATGGACTTGATGTGAAAAAGTTTGGGTTTGGGACCCGGCCTCATCTTTAAACAGCTTTATGTCCTTCAGTTTCCTTACTGTGAAATGAGAGTTACTTAGGAGTTAAATGTCATAATCCATACATAATTTTGTAAGCTATCAAGCACTGTGTATGTAAGTTGTTATTAACTTTTTCTCAGCTGACTTATTATTCTAATCAACTGTGTGCTCAGTGGTTGAATGTCAACCCAGGAGCCAGTTCGATTCTGATCAAGGGCACATACCCAGGTTGTGGGCTCCATCCCCAGTGGGGGGCGTGCAGGAGGCAACTGATCAATGATTCTCACTATTAATGTTTCTCTCTCTCCCTCTCCCTTCCCATCTGAAATCAATAAAAATGTACTTAAAACAATAAAAATAAATGAAAGGCTTACACATAGTGGATTCCATTTCAGTTTGAACAGCTTCATCACTGGAGACCCCCAGTGTCTAGAGGCCTTCTTCTCAGATGCTCTCTGACCTTACCCTCCAAACCCTGATCAGCTGCCTTTGGCCCCAGGCTAGGGTGGGGCGTGTTTTTTCAGGCGTTGCTCAGTCCCAGGTTGGCACAGCATGTAGATTGCTCTTCTCCCAGGTCCACACCCCCACCCACCCCACCAACCCCCACTTCCTCACTCCATCTCAGTGCACCTGTGAAGACAACCCTAAAGGAAAGCCTCATAGTTTTTTGGGGTTTTTTTTATTAAATTATTATGTGTATATATCTTATCATTGCCCCTCCCACTCCTATATGCTTCATAGGTTTGAAAATGCTATTTCTACTGCAATAGACAGGAAACGGGCCAGCATATAGAGCCAGAATATGGCAAAACCAATGCTGTGTGAGCCGATTTAACATTTTGTGTTAAAAAAACAATTTTGACAATATTGGCATTGTAACTATGTGGGGAAAGCAGATTCTTCCTATCTATAATGATTCATAAAAATTACTTAATGATTATAATTAAATTTTTTATCATAGATATTGAGCTCGGATTCCTTCCATGGCTAATGAACGAAGTTGACAAAACCATAGAGCACAGCATGGTGGGAAGGACAGTGCTTGACAGTAAGTTATTTAAAAGTCATCTCTCAATTTTTTAGAAGAAAGATGTTAACTTTACAGTTTTAATTCTTAATTTTTCAGTACATTAGTTGTATTAATTAACCAACATGCAAATTTTTACCCTCAATATTATTTTTCATTCTTCTATACCAGTGTTCAGCAAACTCACTAGTCAGCAGAGCCAAATATCAACAGTATAACAATTGAAATTTCTTTTGAGAACTAAATTTTTTAAACTTAAACTATATAGGTAGGTACATTGTTATTAACTTAATTAGGGTACTCCTCAGGTGGCCTTTGCTAAAAACTCAAGGGGCCAAAGAGCCGCATGTGGCTCGCAAGCTGCAGTTTGCCAACCACTGTTCTATTCTTAGATCAGAATTAATCTCTTTTGTGACATCTTATTAAGAAGGCATTGAATGTAACTCAAACTCGATCATTACGTGGCTCAGTAAGGAAGAGCATTGACTGTAAAAGACTTTGATCTGGGGAAGGGATGAGGTCTGGGACATGTTTTATGTGCATCCACCAGTAAACATTATCACCACTAAAATACAGAAAATCACAGTGACTTCTGTCCATCCAATTTTTCAGTGTTGATCCGTGAGGTGGTGGAGAGGAGGCTGGCCACGTATGAGCGAAAGGAGGACAAGCACCCCTTTCTGAGTCCCGAGGAGGTGCCTGGTATTCCTGGACCCCTGAGAGACCCCACGATGGGTTATGGTTTCCAGGAGCAGAGGCCGCTCCCCAGCGCAGATGTCCCGTATGATAAGCTAATGGAGGAAGAAGAGGAGGAGGAAGATCCGATAGGACTGAGGAGGTCCTTGGGGAGGGGAGAACAGTTACAAGACAGGGAATCCTGGGAGGGGTGAAACCAACCTACAGCCCACCTGCATTGCAAGCAACCAGGTAACGACGGCAGGCCCTCAGGCTATGCAAATTATGTTGAATTTAGTCGACGTGACTTTTTCTCTAATGGACTGGGCAAATAGAATATGTTGAAATAAAACTAATAATAAGTAAAATTTAAACACTTCATTTATTTAATAGTAGAATATCAAGACATTATAACTAATGAGGATTATGCTTATTTACAAGCTTCCCATTATCACTATATATAACTAACATATTTTTCCTTAATCTTTCTAATTTGTGGGTTTGGGTGTCTTTAAAAATATATATATACATATATATGTATATACATATATATATACTTTTTATATATATATTATTGATTTTGTATAGAGAGGAAGGGAGAGAGATAGCCAGAAACATCAATGAGAGACAAACATCAGTCACCTGCTCCTGCACACCCCCCACTGGGGATGTGCCCACAACCAAGGTACATGCCCTTGACCAGAATTGAACCTGGGACCTTTCAGTCCGCAGGCTGATGCTCTACCACTGAGCCACACCGGTTTCGGTATGGTTTGGGGTCTTTTTATCTGTAATGTTAGATATCAGTGATGTCGGCCATCGAGCTTTCCTTCTCTGTAGCAGCTATTTTCATCTGGTATGCCGAGGCACACCGGTGTGCTGCAAGATTTCTTTTTAATTAATTTTAGAGAGAGGATAGGGGAGAGGGAGAAACATCGATGTGAAGGATAACTGTCAATCAATCGCCTCTTGTACATACTGGGACCAGGGACTGAACCCAAAAACTAGGTATGTGCCCCGACCAAGAATCAAACCTGCAGCCTTTTTTGGTGTACTGGATGATGCTCCAACCAACTGATCCACCCGGCCAGGGCAGACCTTTCAACTCCTATAAAGTATGATAAGATTTATGAATTATGACTGCTATGGTACAGAGAATTCACATTTAACTTTTTATTTTATTTTAATAATAAATCTTTATTGTTCAGATTATTACAGATGTTCCTCTTTTTTTTTCACCCCACAGCTCCCCTCCACCTGATTCCCCACCCTACCCATGCCCTTTCCCCCGCCACTGTCTTCATCCATAGGTGTAAGATTTTTGTCCAATCTCTTCCCCCACCCTTCAGCCTCCCTTCCCCCTGAGAATTGTCAGTCCACTCCATTTCTTTTTCTTTTTTTTAATCAATCTTTATTGTTCATATTATTACAAAGGTTCCTCATTTCTTCCCCCCTCCACCAGGTTCCCACCCCACCCTCCGACCCCTCCCCATCCCCCATTGTCCTCATCCATAGGTGCAGTTTATGTTCAGTCTCTTCTTCCCTCCCTTTCCCCAATAGTAAATCCCTTTTCAGATAGTAAATCAGTTACTTAGCATTTTCTCATATCAATAATACCTCCCCATGCCCAAGGATACACTTCACACAAAAGACATTTCCCAATAGATCCACCAGCCTCATCCAGGTCCCACCCAAGGCACTCACAGATCCACACCCCAGCCCTATACTAACTCAACACATCCAGATCTAAGCCTTCATCACTTGATTCAGCAGACCCTCAAGTTCCCACGAAAGTTTCCAGCCATGTCTGAGAGGCAGCCGTGGGGCAGGAGCAGGCGAGGAGCGAGCTGTTCCGGGCCTGGCTGCTCAGGGCCTGGCCTCTGTTGCTCTGGTTCATTCCACAACCAGCTGCTCCGGGGCTGGTCACTGCCGCTCCCGACCTAGTTGCTCTGGACTTGGCTGCTGCTGCTCCGGGCCTGGCCGCTCCCAGCCTGGCAGCCGCTGCTCCGGGCCTGGCCACACCCAACCCGCCTGCTCCCCCGGGCCTGGCCGCTCCCAGCCTGGCAGCCGCTGCTCCGGGCCTGGCCGCACCCGACCCGCCTGCTCCCCCGGGCCTGGCCGCTCCCAGCCTGGCAGCCGCTACTCCGGGCCTGGCCGCACCCGACCCGGCTGCTCTGGGCCTGGCCGCACCCAGCCTGGCAGCCGCTGCTCCAGGCCTAGCCGCACCCGACCCAGCTGCTCTGGGCCCGGCTGCCCTGGGCCCGGCCGCTCCGAGCCTGGGCACTCTCAGCCTGGATGCTCTGGGCTTGGCTACTGCTGTTCTGGGTCTGGCTGCTCCCACCCCGGCTGCTCTGGGCCCGGCTTCTCCGGGTCCTGCCACTCCGGGTCTGGTTGTTCCTGGACTGGCCACCCTGGGCTTGGCTGCCTCCGCCTCAGGCCTGGCTGCCACTGTCCCAGGTCTGGCTACTCCAGTGCTGGCTGTTGATGCTCTGGTTCTGGCTGCTGTTGTTCTGGGGCCTGGCCGTTGCTGCTCCGGGCCTGGCTGCCACTGCCTTGTGCCTGGCCACCCTAGGCCTGGCCGCCACTGTTCCAACTTTCTGTCCTTTTTTTTTTTTTTCTAAAAAACGCATTTATGTTGCAATGTTGGCTGTTGAGTTGAGTTCTGACTTAGTCTTTGATTTTTCAAGAACTTCTTTGTATTCTTAAGTAATTTTACTATCTTTTGCTCTCACTTGATTTCTTCACATTGAGAACTTCTTTGGTTTCTTCCTCCTTGTCCTGGGAGCTCAGCAGGTTGGCCTGTGGCACCCTTTGTTCTCCGCGGGCTCCTGCGCTGCTTTAGCCTGTTGCTGGGGACGGCGCCGCCCAGGAAGCAGCCCCCCTGGCCTTGGCTCCATTACCTGCGCTCAGCGGTGGAAGGCTCAGGGGCACGCCCCCCCCAGGGGCCCCGTCGCCGGGCTCCTTGCTGGTGCCCGGTTGGCCTGCATCCGGCAGGGGCTCCTGCTCCCCGCCGCGTTCCCCCAGCCTGGAGTTTTTTTTTCTCTTTCCCGCTAGGGGAGTCCAGCATCAGAGTCAACAGACTGTCCTCTGCGCGCAGTGTGCGGGCGACTCCGGGGGGCCCAGCCTTTCGCCGCTCTCCCCGGACTCCACCTCACAGCCCCGTCTCCCTCTGCCTGAGTCTGGGTCCCCAGGGATTGGCCCAGAACTGGGGTTTGGAGCAGTCTGGACTGAGGCTCAGCACCGCCGGAGGCCTTGTTTCTTCCGGCTAGGGTAACCCAGCATCAGAGTCAACATTCAGTCCTCTGCGCTCGCATTGTGCGCGATTCCGGGGCCCTGCTTTTCGCCGCTTTTCTGCTTCACAGCCCCGTCTCCTCCTGCCGGAGTCTGGGTCCCCAGGGTCTGGCCCATAACTGGGGCTCAGCGCTGCCGGTTCGGGGGGCTCAGTGCTGCCAGTTCGGGGGTCCAGCCCAGGCTGGGGGTTTTATTTCCTTCCTGCTAGGAAGGGAAAGGCAGCACCCCGCCCTCTCCTCCTCTCCGGCTGCGACCTTTCCGCGCACGCGCGCGGGCTGGCGCGCAGCATGTCTCCGTACCTTAGGCTTTTTTTCAGCTCCTCTGATTTTCTTTCTGGTTTTCTCTTTCCTTCTTGTTGTAGAAATTTCAGTCAGTCGACTACCTGTAGCTCTGGGCAATGTCCACTCTACATCTTAGTTGTATTCCATTGAAATTGTTGTGTGCTGCCGCGGCTAGATGTCTACCCAAGCAGCCATCTTGGATCTCTCTCCCACTCAATTTCTATGTCCCTTATTCTATTATATTCACCATTCTGTTGTTCAGATTTTTTATTCACTTGATTTTTAGATTCACTTGTTGGTAGGTATGTATTTGATGTCTTTTTGTTGTTCATAATTTTTATCTTTACCTTTTTCTTCTTCCTCTTCTTAAAGAACACCCTTCAGCATTTCATGTAATCCTGGTTTGATAGTGATGAACTCCTTTAGCTTTTTCTTATCTGTAAAGCTCTTTATTTGACCTTCAATTCTGAATGATACGTTTGCTGGGTAGAGTAATCTTGGTTGAAGTTCTTGCTGTTCATCACTTTAAATATTTCTTGCCACTCTCTTCTGGCCTGCATAGTTTCTGTTGAGAAATCAGCTGAAAGTCGTATAGGTACTCCCTTGCAGGTAACTAAATGTTTTTCTCTTGCTGCTTTCAAGATCTTTGTCTTTTGCCCTTAGCATTTTAATTATGATGTGTCTTGGTGTGGTCCTCTTTGGATTCCTCTTGTTTGGGGTTCTGTGCACTTCCTTGTAAGTCTTTCTTTCATCAGGTAGGGAAAGTTATCTGTCATTATTTCTTCCAATAGGCCTTCAATATCCTGCTCTCTTCTTCTGGCACCCCAAAAATTCGGATGTTGGTACCCTTAAAGTCATTCCAGAGGTCCCTTACACTATTCTCACTTTTGGATTCTTCTTTCTTTCTGCCTCTCTGGTTGGTGCTTTTTTTGCTTCCTCATATTCCAGATCTTTGGTTTGACTCTCGGGGTACCTTGATCTACAGTTGAGTTTTTGTATATTCTTTATTTCAGACAGTGTATGCTTAATTTCTAACTAGTCCTTTTCCTTTTTTTTTTTTTTTTTTTTTTTTCCCCCCTGGCATTCTCATTAAGGTCCTTGAAGATCTCTTTGAGTTTCTCAGCAGTTTTTAGAAGATTCTTGAGTAACCTTATAAATGTGGTTCGGAACTCTGTGTCATAGTTTACTTTCCTCCATCTCTCCCATTTGTGACATGCTTCTGAGTCTCTGCATTTTGGCTGCCTCCCTGTGTTGATGGAGTGGCTTTGTGTGGTAGGTGACCTATAGGGGCCAGTAGCTCAGCTTCCCCAATCACCTGAGGTGGTCGCTCTTGGGACACCCCTTTCTGGGTTGAGTACAAACTCTTAGTGTAGTTAAGCCTTGATTGCTGTTGGTACACTGGGAGGCACTGTCCTCCAGGCCAATTGGCTGTGAGGACCCGCTGTGTGTATAATGGAAGAACTGCTGTGCTGGAGACACACTTATGGTGCAGGCCTGGTTTCAGTGGGGCTTTGGTGCTCACTGAGTCCGCCTCCCGAATGTGTCACTTAAGGATGTGAGGAGTTGAAATCTGGTGTCACACTGACCACTAGGTACACTGACTTCTGGATCTCCAATGGGGTGCAATTCAGCTACTGTCTGAG